TGACATGTTTTGATCCATCTAAGTGTTCTGATGGCGTCGGTGGTCCAACGCCTGACTCTCGGTGGGCATTTGTTTACACGCACTCCCTGGAAATTGCATTTGATGGGCTCAAGAACGAGACTCTGCTGCCCCTAGTAAGGTATGCCCAAAAACTACAGAACACCGATGTGGTACTCGTAGTTCCTAAGAAAGGGGCGCCTCTGTACAATGTCCACTCCAGTCCTCCTCAAAAGCGTAGAGGACGGCACGCATCAGGCCTAACCGACGAGCAGAAGGTCGGTCTGGCAAGACAAAGTGTGCGTGTCTATGAGGTCAACTTTCTTTACCCACCTGACATGAGATTTGAAGGGAAAGCCGCAAAGTGTTTGGGCAAGGATATGTTCCGAATTCACGTGTTTGGCCTGGAAGAGTACGCCGCGGTGGCTTATTTCGACACCGACACGCAACTGACCGGGAGGGGTGACTTCAGCCAGGTTATGCGGTGCGCTGCCTCGAAGAGCATGTTCATCAGTACCAGTGGGCCGATGAGCCCACTGAACTTAGGCTTCATGGCCTTCAGGCCGAGCAGGCTCCTGAAGGAGGCGGCCGTTCGGCTCGCCCAGCTCGCGAACTTCAACATGGTGACCGGCTGGGGCAACGCGGGGTTCGCACCCACCAACAGGTGGTTCACCGGCGCGGAGTGCGGCCAGGGCTTCGTGCACACCCTGCTATACAAGACCGCCTCTGCTGCGGTTCTGCAGGCCGTAAGGGAGACTGGGGCGTTGCTGCCGACAGCCGTGCAGGTGGACCGCTGCGTCTGGAATCACCAGCACGATGGCCCGTGCAAAAATGGCGGATGTTCCAACATCCGACTGATACACAAGGAAGGTTGGTCCAAGTGCAAGAAGATGAACGTCTCCGAGTTGTCCGCCCGCAGGCTTGCCGAGCGATTCAGGTGTTTCGAGGGCGTGGGGAGCGACAGCTTGGACGACGATGCGGGGCACGACGATGAGCACATTGCTACAATCGCGGAGGCCATCGTGCAAGGTGCCGCGTGAGTGAGCCGCCCGTCTTCTGCAGGGATGTTGGCCCCTCTTCCTGTTCCTCTTCGCCCGCCCGCTCGCTCGCTCGCTTCACGGCGGCCTGCTGCTGACCCACGCAGGAGGAGTGCGCGTTGGTGTGGCACTTGCCCACGGACACCCTGCCGAAGCAAGGCAGCACGACCGCGGCGGCTCTCGTGAGCCCCACGACCTGTGAGATCACCAGTCTTGGAGAAAACAGCACGTCACGAGCCACTGCGCCGAGCCGCTTGTTGCCCACCCCTTCCTGCTGCGGAGTTGGGTTCCCGTTTTGGAGCACCGCTGCCTCCTCCTGATTCCTTCCTCCTCCCGCCCCTCCTCCCGCCCCCTCCTCCCTGCCTCCCCCGTTATGAAACCTCCTACTGCGTACCTCGCCTCCCTGGGTGGCTCCCACGGCGCAGCTGGCGCTGCCTAATGCACAGCTGCCGCCATTTCCGTTGTTGGCCCTTGGGAGGTCCAGCGGAGCGAGGCGATACCCAAACACAAATGAAACCTCGCCCTCCGCTGCGCAACCCGCGCCACATTTGTGAGCGCCTTGGAGGCCGGGTGGCTGCGGAGTGACGCCTCACACGGACGCAAGCAAAAGCGCGCCTTCAGTGGGCGTCTCTAGCTGCGCAACTGCTCGTGGGCTCCTGGAGGGCCCAGCGGAGTGGCGCTACGCAGACCCAAATCAGACCTCTCTCTCCCTGGGAGCTGCGAACTGCTCAACGGTTGTAACCGCGCTCGTGAGCTCCTGCGCTAAGCAGACCCATAAGAGGCATCACCCCCCTGGCTGCTGCCAGCTGCGTAGCCGTCGCCACCTTCGTGAGCTCGTGGTCGAGCCAGCGGAGCGACGTGCATGAAAACTAGACCTCGCCGCGCCCACCTGGGTCGTGCCAAGTGCCCAGCCATCGCCACTGCCGTGAGCTCCTGGGAGGGCCAGTGGAGCGGCGTCCTACGGGCCTCCAAAGTACACCTCGCCTTCCTGGGGGTACAGTCGGCCCGGATTAGTAGGCCGACGCTGCCAGCTCAAGGGTGCCCTTGTGTCTTGTGCCTCGTGACCTCGGAAGGGTCTGTAGTGCGGGGGGGTGGGGGCAACTGAGCAGCTGTCGACCATTTCGCGAGCTCCTGGGAGGTTCAGCGGAGAGGTGTCCTGCCGGCATCCAAACCAACCCTCGCCTTCCTGGGTGTTGCCGGCTGCGCAATTTCTGTCGCTACTTCCGTGAGCTTCGGGGAGGTCCAGTGGAGCGACGCCCTACGGGCATCCGAACTTGACTTCGCCTCCGTAGGTGGTGCGCAAAGCGTCGGCACTTTTCGTGGGCTCCTCGGACGGCCAGGGGAGCGACATCTCACGGGCGTCAAAACTAGACCTCGCATCCTTGCGGGGGGGGGGGGAGGGGGGGCCAACTGCGCAACAGTCGCCACTTTCGTGAGCTCCTGAGAGGGCCAGCAGAGCGGAGTCCTATGAGCATCCAAGCTGTACGCCTTGCCTCCCTGGTGCCAACTGCACAACTCCTTGCCACTCTCGTGAGCTCTGTGGGAAGTGCACCGGAGTGGGGGGCCCACGTGCAGACCCCCCTCGTGGCCTTGCCGTGCGTGTTGGGTGGGTGGGCACGCCCCCGGGCAACTTCTCTGTGCAATAGCTGCCCAGGGCGGGCACACCCCCTGGCAGCACGCCATTTTCCCCTTCATTGGGGTCAGCCCTCTGGCTTTCAGTCGGGCGTGTCCCTCTACAGGAGGAGAATTCAAAGACAGTCAAAACATCGGAGGTTGGGGGGTGAGATCGAAGTGGAACGGAGAGCCCCCCTACCGGGAAATCGATTTCGGTTTCGTGTTCGTGCGTGCCGTGCGGGCGAGGCGAAGCTGCGTGGGCGGGCGAGAGAAAGTCTCCTGTGGCTGAGGCGCGGCCGGAGCAAAAGAACCTTGACCGGGCGGCCGGTGCCCCGCGGTGTCCCGCCGGTGTCCCGCTGGTGTCCCGTGTGGCTGAGGCGCGGCCGGGGCAAAAGAACCTTGACCGGGCGGCCGGTGCCGCGCGGTGTCCCGCCGGTGTCCCGCTGGTGTCCCTTCGGTGTCCCGTCGGTGTCCCGATGATGACGTGGATGGTTATGATGATGATGATGATGATGATGATGATGATGATGATGATGATGATGATGATGATGATGATGGTGATGGTGATGGTGATGGTGATGATGATGGTGATGGTGATGATGATGATGATGATGGTGATGATGATGATGATGATGATGAGGATGATGATGATGATGATGATGATGATGATGATGATGATGATGGAGCGGGCCGGCCGTGCTGCCGATTTTGCGCAAAGAGTCTCCGTGTCGACTGGCATGGGCGAAGACACGGAGAGAGCGGCATGTGTGTCGAGCGGCATGTGTGCCGAGCGGCATGGTGGGATCGTGTGTGAGATCGACGGTGATCTCCACAGTGAGATCGATCGAGTGAGATCGAAAGGGAGATCGTTAGGGGAACCGATAGTGAGATCGATAGTGAGATCGATTGTGAGATCGCTGGTGAGATCGATAGTGAGACTGGCCGAGAGAGATCGATGATGAGATCGATTGTGAGATCGACGGTGAGATTGATCGAGTGAGTTCGATTGAGTGAGACCGATAGAGAGGTCGATACTGAGATCGATAGTGCAAGAGGCGGCGCGGGCTGCGCCAAGCTTTGCCAGCGCTTCAGTCTTCTGTGGCCAAATGGCGCCGTTAGCTGCCGTTGCGCAGGTTGGGCAGGTTCCCAGGGGAAGGGTGACGTAAACAACTCGACACCAATGCCCCCAAGAGCGAGCGGCAACGTAACATTCACCACTGTTGCCCATTGCTGGGCCCCCCCCCCAACCTCCTTATCACCCGCAGGGTGGTCGTATAGGAATATAGTATGGGGACGGTTCTGTTTGACTAGTTCTGCGTATGTTTGAACATGTTTTGATGTTTTATTCTTCTTCCCAAACCCGCCTGTCGGAGGACATGCCCGACCTTACTCTGGCTGTGCAGAGCGAGTCGGAGTCTGAAGGGAGCAGACCGGACAATTGGCGTTTACTAAACGGCCCTGGGCGTTTACTGAGCAGCCTTGCCCTGCTCGATTCCTTCTTTGGGCGCGTTTACTAAACGACTTCGCGTGTCGGGGTGATTATTTATGGGGGTGGGTTTTTGATTTCTAAACTGGCCACCCGTGCGGCGCTTGGTCAGGAGGAGGCCGGCACCAGCACTGCGAGCCCCGCCGTTGCATTGCTTCCCCCCTCCCCGCCATTCCGCTGCCTCTCCCTGTCGGGTATAGCCAGGACCCCAGATAAGGGGGCCCGGTTAGTATAGTAGGGCCCCGGAGCCCCTAAATTTGCCAAAATCACTAAACCAGGTCTGCCGTAGCTGGTGTTTTTTCGGGTGACGGCAGTTCCGGTTAGTGGAATGGGGCGGGGGGGGCGTCCCCCAGTACACATCACTGAACCAGGTCCCACTAAACCCAGTTCTGCCAACGCCCGACCCTGGGAGCGAGCGAGGGAGGGAAGTGAGGAGGAGAGGACCTTATCAGGAGGTTCGGAAGTCCCCTGGCCTTCTGAGGAGTTTTCTGAGCTTTCCCGTAGATAGAAAAACCTCCCGGAGGGCGCAAGGGCTTCTGAGAAGTCCCGCCGCCTTCTGAGAAGGCCTTCTCCTTCTCATTTCCCCCCCTCGCTCGCCGCCGAATTCTGCTTCAGGGATCGGTGCGTCCCACTCCAGATCCTGTCAGCCATGCGCAGAGGGGGGTAGGGGGAGGGGGGAAGGCTTTTTAGAAGCCCCCTTCTTAGAAGGCGCGGGCCTTGTCTGTAGATGTAAGGCCGGCGCCTTCTAAGAAGCAGCCTCCTTCTAAGAAGCTTCCCCCCTCCCCTCGCCCCCCTCTGCGCGCTGCCAATCCTCGTTGCCCACCCTCCCCCAAGAAAGCCTGCGCCGCCGGGCGCTGGGCATCCGGCGGCCGCGGCCGCCAGCGTCGCGGGGGTGGCCATCAGCATATGACACCCGCCGCGGCCGACCGTCGTCGTCGTCGTCGTCCTACTCCTCCTCCTCGTCCTCGTCCTCGTCCTTGTCGTCCTCGTCTCGCCCTTGTCCTCGTCGTCGTCGTGCGTGGATGTAAAGGGCCCGCACGAGCGAGCCCTCCATGCTGCAGCAAATTCTCGGACCCCCCGAAAGGGACGGCTGCGGCCGTGAAAGCGACAAGGGGAGGAGATCAGAGGAGGACAAGATACTGATACCGCTACGCTTCCAGTCGCCATGGCTGGATTCGGCCCGAAATCCGGGTCAGAACGCACCCGACGAGAAGGGAGGTCCGCGGAGTATCGTCACAGGTATCTCGTCATTCCCTTCAGAGATGGAGAAAGTATATGTGCACAATGGGGAGGGGCGGAGGACGGGTAGGCTGCAGAAGCATTGGCGTATTGAGAACGAGGAGGGAAGAGAGGATGACGAGGATTGAAGAGGCAACAGGATAGAGAGCAAGGGAGAGAAGGAGGCACGTAAAAAGAGGAGGAGCAAAAACGACGGCCCCCAGAGAACGACCCGAAATTGGCAAAGACTATGTATTCCCGCACCGCATACCCCCTTACAGCTTCCAAACCAATCCTGCCGAATCTGTTCACTCTGAAATGCAACCGACTACGAATCGCAAGGCCACAGGGCAAAGGATACGATACGGAAAACAAGTTGCAATTCGGCGTCCCTAGCCTTCGTATCGCAAGACCGCAGGGCAAACCATACCGAAACACCGCTGCAATTCTGAATCGAACTGCATGAAACCATACGCGAACCGCAACACTATGTTGTAAGCTACGGGGCACATCATACCGAAACAACGTTGCGAGTATGCCCCCATGGCACAGAGGCAACACACAAATCTCCACACCACCTGGGCAAACCATACCGAAGAATTGTTGCGAATCTGCCTCCGAAGGGGCAAACCATATTTCATCAACGGTGCGGATCTGCTTCTTCATGGGCAAACCATACCGAAACAATGTTACGACTCCGCCTCCCCATGGGCCAACCCTACCGAAACAACGTTGCAAATCTGCCTCCCGCGGGGCAAATCACGTCGACACAGCGTTGCGAAGTTGCATGCCGATAGGCAAACCATGCAAACCATGCCCGCACAGCATTGCGGATCTGCCCCACGACGGGCAGACCATGCCGAAAAGCAGTTGCGAGTGTGCTTCCCCGTGGCCAGACCATGCCGAATAAACGTTCCGAATGTGTTCCCCAATGGGCAAACCATGCCAGAACAATGTTGCAACTCTGCCCCCTAATCGGCAAGCCATGCCGAGACAGCGTTGCGAA